TCCGCAGTTGACAAATTGAGCATGCTATCCAGGCGCCCGAGTCCGAAAAATCATTAGTTGATAAGCACCCCGTCTCGTAAGACCGAGGCGCCTGTAACAAGGAAAGGGGGGCATTTCCCACGCAAGGGTTAAAATCAATAGTTGACAATGGGGAGCACATAAGGCAGGCGCCTAAGTGAACAAAGATGAAAAGCAGTAGTTGACAGATCGATCGCGCTAACCAGGTGCATGTGTCAAGAAAGAATAAAATCAGCACTTGACAAATTGAGCATGCTACCCATGCGTCCGAGTCTGAGAAATCATTAGTTGATAGGAGCCCTATCTCGAAAAACCGGTTGATAGGAGCCCTATCTCGAAAAACCGAGGCGCCTGTAACGAGGAAAGGGGGGCATTTCCCACGTAACGATAGGGTGTCCCACAAGGCAAAGATATGAAAACCAAGCGGACGGAAAGGAAAAACTTGTGAGAAGACTAAAGATCACCAGGCGCCCAACTCGGCGGTGAGGCGAGGCGGATGCGATAGGCGAAAAAGAACACGATAACAGGCGCCCAATGCAGCAAAGAAGAGGAGCGAGAGGTGTAGGGCGCCTAGCTCAGTAGTGCCAAGGTGCCGATAAAAGTGGCATGTATGGGCAGAGCGCCTACCGGATGACGACGGGTGGACCCGCGAGTGGTTCATCGATGCCGGGGCCCCTTTGAAGAGAAGATCGAGACGATAAAGGGGAGGCTCGCGCAATCAGGCCCTTGAACATAGTCAGGCCCTCAAGTTTCGGAAACTTGAGAGCCTAACTTGGGGGGGGGGGGCAATTGTTGGGAGAATTACAAAGATAGGCCCAAGGCGGCCCAATAAGGAGGAAGAGGGTTGCTCCATGGGCCAGCCTGGGTGTGATGAAGGAAGCAAGGAGACAAGGTGCGGAAGACTCCAAGAGAGTAAGGTTTGGGCGCCTTGCATTTATCATAAGCTTGACACGTTGGTCGGGGCGCCCAGCCTCACAGAAGTACGAAGCATTAAAGGCGATGATGACGTGGAGCTAGCTGGAAAAAGCCTGGTCCAGGTGGGTGAGTATAAATAGAGCCGGTAGGTAGCATTTACACAGGTTGGATTCTCCGACTAAACACTAAAGCTTGGTACTTCTCTCTCTAAGATTCAAACTGACTTGATCGTCGGAGGACTAACGGGCCCAGGCGCCCTCCTCCGTATGCGTGTGTGCAGGTCAGGTGCCTAGAACTCATTGCAAAGGGATAGAGCTGGTGGGGAATTGGGCTCCAAAGTATCTGGGATCGAACACATACTATCATGTATGCAACCATTCTACGCTCTAGTGTGTTCATACCACCATGATACACTTCTGTACAACGTTGTATAATCTTATGTACTACTAAACATTACCATATGGTATGGACTAGTAACAAATGTCTCAATTATTTTTTATCCAAAATCTATCAAAGTGGATGTCATATTGAAGAGCACACTTAATTGATTTCTCTGTGCTAAAAAAAAAGTTATTGCTTAAAACGAAAATGATATAGCCTAATAAAATTAATTGGAAAAAGTTAGTTGCATTCCATAAATGATAAGTGAAGAGCTATAAAATGTTACCGACCATAAGGTTATTGACCAGGTTATTGAAGAGCTATAAAACTTTAACCGGTACTATTTGGATAATTTGGTTTGGTTAATTTGGATAATTGGTTTGGTTTGGTTAAAGTTTTTAGCTTGTTTGGTTTAGGTGGTTTGGTTTCCGACACTCCTAACCAGTCAAACCAAATTAATCAGTTAAATAATTAGCCATATATCTAACATATATTATATACACATACTTAATACTTTGCATAACCACTCAAGAGTTAACGTTCATCCCTTTTAGAGTGATTGAACAGTGCATATTAATTGGAATATGTGCACACAATGAGTTAGTTATTAGTTAAGAGAGAGCAATAAATCTCACCATATTTAAGAGAGAGTATATTTCAAACTTGGTTCTTCAGTATAGATTAGGATGTTAAGGAAGATATTTATAGAATTATACCTCTAACCCTAAATAGAGTGGTAAAACATAAGAGAATCGAAAAAGATCATATAAAAAATTCAAGCCATCCCGACAATTTACCACCTTGAATAAAATTCACTCAAATAATAATCGGAATTTCCAGATGAACCTAAATAGAATTGAAATCGCTAGATGTATCCACATACAATAAGAATTGCCAGACTTGTACCTAAAACCGCAAACCAAGTAACCAGATATTCTCAAACTCGAACTACAACATAATTCCTTTAGCTTATGTTCCCGAAGGAAGGGAGGACAATGGAGGGGAGGGGAAGGGAGGGACAATTTGGAGTTAAGGAAATTGGAAGGAAAATTGTGTTTCATGTAGGGGTGTTCAAACGGTTTGGTTATCATGGTAACCGTTTTAACCGGTACTATTTGGATAATTGGTTTGGTTTGGTTAAAGTTTTTAGCTTGTTTGGTTTAGGTGGTTTGGTTTGGTTTCCGACACTCCTAACCAGTCAAACTAAATTAATCAGTTAAATAATTAGCCATATATCTAACCAATTTCGAAATATACTCTCACTCTTTAGAGTGATTGAACAGTGCATATTAATTGGAATATGTGAACACAATGAGTTAGTTATTAGTTAAGAGAGAGCAATAAATCTCACCATATTTAAGAGTGAGAGTATATTTCAAAATTGGTTCTTCAGTATAGATTAGGATGTTAAGGAAGATATTTATAGAATTATACCTCTAACCCTAAATAGAGTGGTAAAACATAAGAGAATCGAAAAAGATCATATAAAAAATTCAAGCCATCCCGACAATTTACCACCTTGAATAAAATTCACTCAAATAATAATCGGAATTGCCAGATGAACCTAAATAGAATTGAAATCGCTAGATGTATCCACATACAATAAGAATTGTCTGACTTGTACCTAGAACCGCAAACCAAGTAACCAGATATTCTCAAACTCGAACTACAACATAATTCCTTTAGCTTATGTTCCCGAAGGAAGGGAGGAAAATGGAGGGGAGGGGAAGGGAATTAGGAAGGGAGGGACAATTTGGGGTTAAGGAAATTGGAAGGAAAATTGTGTTTCATGTAGGGGTGTTCATACGGTTTGGTTATCATGGTAACCGTTTTAACCGGTACTATTTGGATAATTTGGTTTGGTTAATTTGGATAATTGGTTTGGTTTGGTTAAAGTTTTTAGCTTGTTTGGTTTAGGTGGTTTGGTTTGGTTTCCGACACTCCTAACCAGTCAAACCAAATTAATCAGTTAAATAATTAGCCATATATCTAACATATATTATATACACATACTTAATACTTTGCATAACCACTCAAGAGTTAACGTTCATCCCTTTTAGACTCATAAAATATAAAGCTCAATATTGCTCATATAGTGTATATTTGTATATGTAAAATGTTGACCACAACATATGGAAGCCTAATTTAGATAAATTTCATACATTATGATGGATGAAAACTTGAAAGGAAGGTCATTTCAAGTCAATGATAATTGCTAAGAGACTAAGTCAATTTACACAAACACAACAATTCATTAACCCATACCATTGTCATAAATTTTTGTTAGGTGAATACTTCTATACTAATCGTAAGATAATTGTCTTAGTTGCATGTATTTTTGTTAAGGGTCAACTATAACTACGTGTTGATTGTTATGTTTTATTCATTATATAAATTGCGAATTGTTGCATTAATCGGAAAATTTTCATCGCCAATGATAATGTGATTTTATATTGGTTAATCTGGTTAACCAATTAACCAAACCGATTAAACTTTAGTTTGGTTAATTTGGTTGTTGTATTAGTTTAGACGATTTGGTTATGATATTGTATTATATGGTTAATGGAATATAGCCTTATTTGGTTTGGTTATAACCATGGTAACCATTTGAACACCCCTAGTTTCATGGAGGAAAGTGGGAAGGAAAATGTGTATTAGGAATTGTGATGGATATGTTATTTTATTGGGTATATAATGGTAAAATAATTTGATTCTATGTTGATATTATTTTCATTGGTTATGAATAGTGAATTAAATTTGTTTTTTCTTGCTAATTTGGTTTATTATTAAAAAAAATTCTCAATTTAAAATCTCATTCATTTTAATTTGATTTAAAATTTTCTCATAAAATTTCGTTCTAACTTTGATTTCAAAAAATCCAACACAGATGGAACGGGTTCGTTGTAATCTACAAAATGATATTCATTTTTAATATAATTCTAGCAAATAAAATTTCAAACCACCCACACCACTCTTCACCACCCTGGTCAGTGGTACCATCTGATATAATTTGGTACCACCCTTGTTTTCAACTAGAGTTTTGATCTATTAGATCTACAAATTTTTAGAAAAAAGTTCATGACAAAAAATACCACATCGATACATTGTGGTAATCGATACAGTGTGGTAATTGGTGGTAAATAACGATTAATATATTTCTACTATGTTGGATGTAACCATTCTACACTCTGGAACATAATGCACGGGTACATTAGCGTTGTGTTATTATTTTTCATTATTCATGTATTGCGGAATAAGATTTATTTATTTTTATTTGATTCAATATTATTATGTATGGTATGTTGGACGATTATGGAAAGGGAAATCGGAATTGTCAAAGATCATTTGTGATTCCGAAATTAAGGATGCCAGATTTGAAAGCTTCCATTTCCGAGAAGATTGGTAAGGAAAGTTCCACAGGAAGGCTTGATTACAGCTGCTGAATTGTAATTCCTTCCTTGTGCAGATTGGAAGTAACGGCTATGTGATTCATGCTATATATATTCCTCTTGCTGTTCATTTGTCGGTAACTCTTGTACGGAAAGTGGAAAAGAACTTTGGGGTACAAAAGGACCAATCAATCAGGGGTATAGGTTCTGATTGATCGAGGGTGTAAACGGGTCTGGTCAGGATCCGGGGTTTCTCTTCTTTGTTCGTCGTTAGATTGGTTCTTTCTATTGTTTTTGTTATTTACGTTTTGTTTATTCCGCTTGATAGGTAAAATAAATAAAAAGAGTCTCCTATAAATCAGTGGTAATGATTTTGGGACGAGTAGTGTAACAACAAAGATGAGTTGGGGGAAATGAAACCCTAAGCCTTGGGTGTTTCTCATTTATACGTGGATTTAAATAGGCAAAACCTTTTGCACTACAAGACAACATGTGCAAGCTAGTATTTGGAGACTACAAAGATAAAACATTAATTCAAACTAAAATCTAAACACACATTGACATTAAACTAAACTTGATGATGATGATTTCCTCTAAACCTTGTCGATCCACTTTGACATTCATGGTCGCCGGTTTGAGTTTTGACGATAATTTGAAATATCTCCTGATAATGAACTTCATCCAAACAAAATCTCTAACTTGTTCAAGACCAACCACTTCATTCTCGGCATCTTTCTGCTGGTCATTCAATCGATCAATTGCACTTTGGGTTCAAGATTGTTACCTTCCTTCCGAATAAATTTTCGATCCTTAAGCTTAAAACGGAGACGGCTTATGTCAAAGCTGTTGATTGCTGGAGATGGAGACCTGGACTTGCCTCTGAACAGAGCAGCACCCGATTCCTCTGTTTTCGGTTGTGGAGCTCTGTGAAAAACTTCAACACTATCGTCCTTGACCGGTTTGATCTTCTGTGGCTTTTTCACAGTCGGTTTCTTCGTCGGTTCAATACGATTTTTGCCTCTAGGTCTTCTCTCCGTCGTGTGGTCCTCGCCTCTGTTGCGCGAGTTGAAGAAGATTGCCGTACACGACGTCGACGCAGGAGCAGGCTGCTGAGCTACAGTGGGATCTAGCATCGTTGGTTCATATCAAAGCAGGAGAAGATTGTCGATGGCGAGGGAGATTCCTCTGGTCTTTAGCAGCTTCATCGCCTTCTTCTTCCGGTGCTCGAGGGCGGCTACGAATGAGGAACTGGTTGATTCTCACACTCCGGCGACGAAGTCGGATCTGCCGGTTGTGGATCTGGGTTTTTCGGAAGGAGGGGATTTGTGGGTGTTGGTGGGTCAGTGAGATTTGGGGAAGGGATGGGGAAAGGATGGTGTTGATTTGCAGCGGAAGATGGATGTGAGAAATGAGATTTGGGGACTTTGGGTATTGGGGTTTCCGATCGGGGAAGTAAGAACAATGGCGATGATTTTGCGGTGGAATGGTTTGGCGGAAGGTAGAAGGGATTTGTGGGTTTCTTGCTCTCGGAAGATGGGAAAAGATTTGAGATGGTGATGGCGGAATTTTTTTTTGACGACGAGGAGAGATTTGGGTAGGGAACAGATGGGAATGGAGAAGAACAATTTTTTTTTTAGGGTTTACATCTGAAAATTTTCTGATATGTACTATTTTTGTGGGTAGAAGGTTTTAGGGTTCTTTAGGATCTAGATGCTCTGATACCATAACAACAAAGATGAGTTGGGGGAAATGAAACCCTAAGCCTTGGATGTTTCTCATTCATACTTGGGTTTAAATAGACAAAAGCTTTGCACTAGAAGATAAAAACATACATATGCAAGCTAGCATTTGGAGACTACAAAGATAAAAACATTAATTCAAACTAAAATCTAAACACACATTGACATTAATGATTAAACTAAACTTGATGATAATTTCCTCTAAACCTTGTCGATCCACTTTGACATTCATAGTCGTCGGTTTGAGTTTTGACGATAATTTGAAATATCTCCTGATATACTGACCAGTAGTTTGGGAATCTTGTTAAACATCGTGTGTTCTTTCTTTTCTCTGCTTGCACTCTGTTTTCTCATCTCTTCCTCTGTTTCAGTTCTAACATTGCTCTGCTCTCGGTGGAGAAGACGAGTTTCCTTGCATCTGCAACTGCAAGAGTCAAGACCGGTTGCTGTGGGCTTTAGCCCATTAGTCACTTTGGTTTTCGTTTAATTATTTTGCTTCTTTAGTTATTCTAGTTGTTGGGCTTTGTGTTAATCAAGGCCATTCCTTTCATAAGGAGAAAGACGATCAGCTCACTAGCTGTCTTTCGTCAAGTCTCTTCTCCTGGTAGCTCTTTTTCTCTTCGTCTTTCTTTCTGCAAGTTTCAGTAAAAACCCCTAAAATCGTTCTAAGAGAAATCCCTAGCCTTTTCTTATGGTAATGGTTTTGTGATTACGAAGCATTAAAAAACTTAATTTTTAGCCAAAATTTGGTTTTTAGTTATCAAGTAAGACCTTCCGTGATTATATTTGCCTACAACTACTAATTGTAATTATCTGTTCCTAATTATGTTTAACCATAAACAGCAATTGTTAAATAAACAACGTTGAGCACTTACTACTTCCATTAGTTTTAATTACTAAAACCTTTAATTTAAGGAAAGAGAAAAGAATTAATTTTATTATAAACAAATAAAATGAACTCACTTAATCTCACTTACTAATATTTATTTATTATCATTAAACAAGGAAAGAGAAATGACAAACGGGGAAAGAAAAAAAAGAGAGTGTTGGGGGGAGGAAGTTTTCCTTCCAAATCCGAGGGTCGAGTTGAACACGAGATGTTCTTTCCTATTTTCTTTCCCTGCCACCGTTGGTAGCTTCGGGAACTAAGGAAATCTTTTAAAAAATCTCACTTTCCTTCCTCCCCTCCCTTTAAGAACATAGGGATATGGACTACCAATAACTTAAGGAATCGCCTTAGTGAACTTATCAGCAAGACTAGGGCTGGGAATCTAGACCAAACCGTATGGGAAACCGCGGTCTAGACCGTATCGTATGGTTTGGTCTGGACCGCGAGACCAGAACTATGGTCTGGTCTGGTTTGTGGTCTCCTCCTTTAGTGCGTGGTCTGAAGTGGTCTGGACCGCGGTCTACCGCAGTAAACCGTAATAGACCGCGACACATTACCTACTAACTCGGATAAAAATAACACTAATTGAACTTCCATTTGTGTATTTGAAGAACAAAGTTAGTTGATTCTTCATCTAGTTGAGAGCCAACAAATTGCCAAATGATCGCTTATGTGTTATCTCCTTATCAAAGAACCACACAAAAACCAGAAAGACTCATAAATAATATTCAGAGACAATGTCTAGACTATGGAGTCGATAAAAATTAAACGATATAAAAAAATTTGTTCACCTTGATGAGATAAGAAAAATTATTGAGAGATACGTGACCATCTTAGTGGTTTAAAATTACCGCGACATCATCACAAATGTTATCAACCGGGAGAACCTTCGGATCACTCGAGAGAGGAGAGAAGCGGCAGCACAAAGAGGAATAGGGAAACAAGACCGTTTGGTGTGTGTGTGTGTGTTTGAAAATTGTAAAAACCCCACTTATATCCTCATATTTCTTCTCATTTAATTACGATCACAATTTTTTTGTTTCAATAGCATATTGGTCACTAGAATTTTTATTTTTATAGATACCAGCGAAGGGTTGGAGGGCGAACAAGAGTTAATTTTTTTTTAACATGGTCTGTCTGGTCCAGACCATACCGGACCGCACCGCACAGGTGTGGTCTGGTCTGGACCGTATAGTATATGGTCTGGTCCATAGTCTGTATTCCAACCTCTTGGTCTGGACCACAGACCGTATCTATGGTCTGGTCTGGACCAGACCGCACCGTTTCCCACCCCTAAGCAAGACTATCAAACGTGTCAACTTTCATCACCTTATTTCTATTAGATTTACAAGACAGTATGAATAAGAGACCATGTTGATTCACCAAAGCTTGCATCTTGATATCCAATACCTTAAAAAAAGTTTTCCTATGAACTTTTTGATTTTTATGTCCATTTGAATATTGATTAGAGATAACATTTCCTCACTAACAGACATAAAAAATCATTATCCAACTTTTTAGCGTATGTCGGAATCCCCTAACTATTAGATATGAAGTGCTATGGTCAATACATATAGGGGTCGTTCGGATCAAGAATTTTAATTTGAAGGATTTATATGAGAGATATGTGTCCAAATCTCTTATTTAAAAACTCATGAAATTCAAATGAGATATTTTATCCAATTTACTCATTTGGCTAGATATGAGAGATTTGAGGTCGAAAATTTTCTTGCCGATGAAATAGGAGTTTAAGGGCCAAACCATTATTAGGGTTTCTGTGGCAAACAGAGTAAATGGAAAAATAGAGGAATGTTAAGACGTTGCCTCCAATTATTGCCCTTCAACGACTTCTCTCTCTATCCACTGTTTGTGCGCCACAAAAAGTAATGAAAGAACCTCTCTAGCTTTTGCCCCTCCCATCAGAATTTTGCGTCAACTTTTCTTTTTGGCTCCAAATCAGGTATGATTTGGCGAGTCCGATTTGATGACAAAAAGTTGTTCCGCACTGGAATTCAAAATATGACATATGAAATATAACATCAAATTAGGGTAAATGCAAAGTTTGGTCACTAGGTTTACTAAAATGTGTCATGTTTAGTCACTAAAAAAATTCATATCAGTTGGACACTTGAATTAGTAAAACTGTACATGTTTAGTCACTCTCCATTAACTTTATCTGATGTGGCAGTCAACCCTAACAGTTGGCCATTAAATGTCTGAAGTGGCAATTAAAAAATTAATTTAATTCTTTTAATATTTCTACATTATTAAATAATAATAAAAATAAATAAAACCAAAACTTCTGGTGTAGCAAGACGTTGCCCAGTATCAAAATCCCGGCTTCGGAGGCTTTCACGACCACGTGGTGAGCGATGTTCCCGCCGGAGCTGTCACCGACTAGGTACACGTGTACGTCGGAGGAGTTGTTGTCCTTGCCGCTGCGGAGAATAAGAAGATTCGGATAACCGAGTAACCGACGATTATTAATCGCGGTTATCCAAAAAAACCGACCCAAACCGACCAACCCTCATATATTGCCCTCCCTAAAAAAAACGACATATAAAACCCTTAACCCCACTCTGAAACCCTATAATCCCCTCAGAGCCTCACCCTCACACGCACGGCCGCCACCCTGCTCCCTTCCTCGGTCGCCTCACGGCCGCCGCCTTCCTCCGTTCCTCGCCGCCATGTAGATCCTTCCTCGTCGCATCGCACACGGCCAGATCCCTTCCTCGCTGCCGCCCAGGTCCTTTCCTCATCTCGTCGCCGCCTCCATCCTTCCTCTTCCCCGTCCATCCGTCGTCGTCCCCGAACAGATGAACCGCGGCTGCGAAAGAGAGAAGGAGAAGAAAAATGGTCTTTGTTCGTGAGTTCAGAGAAGAACAACGGAGAGAGAAGGGGAATTAAGTTTGGCCGAGAGAGAGAGAGAGAAAAAAGAAATTGGTTTTGGCTGGGAGAGAGAGGAGAGAAAAAGTGGCTTGGAACCTGGAGGGTAGCAGAGGCAAGGCAGAGCGATGGGAGAAGAAAAGACGTTAGCTTTTTTTTGGATGAGGAGAGAAGAAGAAGAAGACAAAGACAGAAAAGTGTGTTGTGGTTTCTTTCCTTCTATTTTTTTTTTATTTAATTTGTTTGTATTTAATTCGGCTAACCGCGGTTATAACCGATAATTGACCGGTCGGTTAGACAGTGACCGAGCGAAAGGTGTCAGTTGATGTTCGGTAATGCTAGGGGGTCGCTCGGTTTAACCGAAAATCGACTTTTCATTTTTCGGTTAAACCAAAACCGACCGACTAACAGCCCTACTGGGTAGAGAGTGAGGCCCGCCATTTTTATTGAATTTTATTATTTAATAATATGAAAATATTAAAAGAATTATATTAATTTTATAATTGCCACTTCAGACATTTAACAGTCCACTGTGAGGGTTGAGTATCACATTAGATAAAGTTAACGGAGAGTGACTAAACTTGAACCGTTTTACTAATTCGAGTAACCAAAATTGATAATAAATTTTTCAGTAACTAAACATAACATATTTTAGTAAATCCAGTGACCAGACTTGACATTTACCCATCAAATTATGTAATAATCATAGCTATTGGTTTTCAACTTCATGTCACGTTTAAATCACGAGTTGTTCCTTGAGTCGACTTCTTTCAATAGTATACTAAGAAAAATAATATGTGAGATCATATGCAATGGATACGTTATCAAGATATTGTAAAATCATGGTCATGGTATGTATGATTTTATCTAAAGAACAGCTACCGAAAATGAATGATATGCTATATAGTTTTAGGCCCCTTTTATTTGTAACGATATGAATTTTCAAATGTTCTTTAAACAAAAAGAAACATCAGTAGTTTCCCGCTTGGTTTAAAGGGATTGCAAAGATCTATTGGTTTGTCATTAGTGGTCTAAAGATGGGTGTTTATTATTTTGATTAGCTGTTAATTAAATGCAGACCCTGCCTATTCCTTACCCTTGGGCAGTTAAAAGTTAAAAATGTTAGCTTGTGTAAGTAACTTCATTTCTTTTTATGCAAGTTACTTGTTTTTTTTTTGTCCAAATTTTTTCTGTTTTTGTCTAACTCACTTCTTTTTTTCTTTGCGAGTTTCGGGAACTCATTTGGGTAGTTGTATTACATCTAGACAAATAGAAGCAGGTTGACGTTCAATGACAAGAAACCAGAAAGGTGGTAATAGCTGATCATTATTGGCTCATCTGAATCCCAGATCAGTGAATGGATTGATTCAATAAGTGGCACTAGACTTAAATCTAATTGATTATTCTGCAAAAGCTCCAAACAAAACCTTAACAAGGAAAATGCTGGTTTTCGTTCCGATACCCTAACATATAACCCGTTCTTATAAAGAGTCATCTCTACCAAAACTTCTAGGGAACTCTCAGACCATTCACTTAGTATCGATTGCAGGAATCAAGTAAGGGAAAGAGTGGTGTAATTCCTTACTTTGATGGCAAGCCACAATGAGTTGATGGAACCCAGAATAGAATATAAGAAAAACCTTGCGAAAAATGGTTCCTTTCTTTCATTAAGCAAAGCTACTTCCAACTTTATTCTTTGCTCACAGTTCACAGCTTGACAACCCCATCCATCTTTCCCTTAGCACCACCACCAAATGGCTTATAATATCAGAACCTGTGTTCCCCTGTTCTCTTCCTTTTCATAGTTCAACAATGTCTGCCATTGTTAGCCTTTCAAGTGTCCTCCCACATAAGGGCACCTTCCCTTTCCCCTCCTTCAAACGGTGGTCATCACCACCACGAGCCTCGAGAAGCAGTGACAAGCCATGGATTGTGGCGAACCAAGGTCGCAGCACCATCGTTAACAGCCATATTTCGAGAAGGCAAGCTGAGAAGAAGAGATTACTACTGGTCATTACCACAAAGACAAGAACAACCAAGTGCTTGTCAGTGGATGACGTGGACGTCACGTCAGCTGGGTCTGATCCCATTTCCCCATGTGTTGTCGTCAACAGCTTGTATGAATATATCAATGCAAAGAAGTTGAAGGAACTTGGAGACCTGATCTCTGTGGATTGTACCTTGGAGGATTGCTCATTTCCTTTCCCAATCCAGGGGAAGAAGGTCGGTGGGTCTCTTCATCAGTGATATTTTTGTTGGATTGTCCTACATTTTCATGATTTATAAGCTTGTACAAAGTTATAAACAGCCAATCTTTTTTCTTTTGTTTGTTTGATTTCACAGGAAGCCATGATTTTCTTCCAGCAGCTCACCAGCAGCATGGGCCAGAATGTGAAGTTCAGAATCGACCGAGTCTGCGATAATAGCCATGAGCTCACAGCCGCCATCAACTGGCACCTTGGTAATGTGCATTACTAAACTACCCAGTTGACCTATTATACAGATATTTCATGAATTATTTTCAATCATGGATTCGATCTTTCTTATCTAATTCAGCTGTATTCAATTGCTGCAGAGTGGAATAAGACTCCCATACCATTTACTAGAGGGTGCAGCTTCTACGAGTGCACAATGGGACAAGGATCTAGCCTGGTCATTAAGTAAAATTTTAAACTAACTTGTAACTTCCAACGAAGAACAAAAACTGCTTAGTAATTACTGAAATGTTAAAAGTGTAACTCTGTGCAGGAAAGCTTTAGTTGTGATCGAGTCACCTATTAAACCAGGAGGCATTGTTCTGGTAATTAATTACCAATCCGAAGCATTCAGAAAGCCTATAATACACTTATTAGATCACCTCCTACTGATGATTCATACTCTACTTTTCAGGCATTGTTAAGGAATGTGACCGCATTATTCGACGAATTCCCTACAGCAGCTGAATGTGAGATTCTCCATTATTAATGCTAACACAACCAGATCCAGCATTCTTGGTTAACAAGTAGTGGTATTAGTAGATGACTAGATGAACAAAATATATACAACCCATCATGGATTCAGTCTTCCTAGGCCAGTATTCACTAATCATCACAATAAAATAAATAAAAAACTCTTGCTTAACGTACCTTTTTGGTTTGCTATTGGGTGCTACAGGGTTCTTGCACAGTCCTCATGTAATCATCCGATTCTTGATGCGAATGTACTCTACCTTTATGGCACCAGTTATCAATCCACTTATGGCTGGCTACTTCAAGATGTGGACTTTAATTGCTCGCTTCTTCACTCTTGGAATCCAACTATTGCTCTACATCTCAAACAAGTATTTTGGAAAGGATTAGACTTTGATCCTCTGTGACCCTGTTCGATTCAATTGGTAAGAGATGAATTGGAGAAACAGTCAACTGGAGCAAATAGTAGAAGTGAAAGTGTATGCCAAAAAAGTTCATCAAATAAGTGAAAGGATTGGAAAACAGTTAGGTGCTCATTGTTTTTTTTTATTTTGGTATATAAAATTATAATATAAGTGAGTTGTATGAAACAACTAAAATAGCACCACCTCCCAATGCTCCCACATTTATGAAAAACAAAGAGCTAAATAAGTCTTTGCATATAAACCTGATGATCAATCAAATCATTTCTTCCTTAACAACTCCAGGATGGATTCTGTATTCCTCAGTTCCTGAGATTCTTGAGAGTCCTCGTTCTCCTGAGAGAAATCAACTGTGGTGTAAGTCCGGATACCAGGACCATGGCCATTGCAATCCATCTCCCTTCCTTGCTGTGCACGTCTCACTTCTTTCTGATGTTCAGTTAGCTCCAGTTTCTTTCTCTTTGAGCTTGACCGGAACTCCACTATCTCTACTCTTTTTGAGTTCCTGTTATTTGTTGCAACTATGTTGTACCTGCTAAGTGGCATTGGCGGTCTAGATTCACATCGTGAAAGAAAGGGATGAGGAATCTTTCCAAGGTGGATTCTATTGCTTCTGGACAACCTATCCAAGAGATCAAGTAGGCTCTCAGGGTAGTCTAGCTTCATGTCCCCACCATAAGTTGAATTCCAGAAAGAGATGGTCAGCTTTGAGATGGAGGAAACCGGGTGGTCCAGAGTTTTTTGTAGGACGGGCGCCTGAAGGTTTAAAAACGAAGAATCGAAGCTGATTGGTGGAAGGCTTCTCTGCAAAGAGCTAAGGATTTCTCCCCACAGACGACTGAGTTGATCCATGATACTTTCATCGGGTAGTCTTTCATGGGATAGCCACTGGAGCATAGGACAACTTATCATCTGCACAAAGTTTTATCACGCGCATTATTCTTTTTTTTTTTTTGTGGATTTCTTTAGATGGTTGTTGTTCACAGATTGTAGTGAAGAATGCCTTACCTCCATAAATAAGAGGACGTTTTGTTTTGAATGGAGAGAGGCAGCTGCATCTGCCAGTGCAGATATTGCCCTGTCAATGGTAAAGATATGTTAGATGCACACCATAAAAGAAAAAAGATAGCCAACTATGCATCAAGATTGAGGGCATTAGTCAGGTGAACAAACCTTGAAACTAGAGAAAGATCATCGAGTTGGCTCTGCTCCACCAGTTTCCATGACAACTTCAAGAACCTGTAAAACCATACATGAGAAATGTATGTTGTCTTTTGTTAGGGAGAATGTAAAGAGGCAGAGAGGGTAGAAATAATTGCTCCAACTATAGAGAGCTTTCCATTGGTCTTCTCCCACCTTTCAATTGTACTTTCTGGTATATCTCTTTTTTTCATTTAAATTTAGACAGTTAGGTGTTTATTCATACAAAGTTTTTCACATCAAGATATTACATCAATCAGCTAGAAAAAGCTAACAAGAGGCTGCTGCAAGTACCTGGCAGCAAATCCCAGCCGATTACTAATGCCATATGATGTTCCATGATCACGGACACTTTTGCTCCAGTCACCATCAATGATATGTTGCGAAATGCAAATAACAGCATTGCCACATAGGGAAACAAGATGGAAGTGGGGAACCTCATTGCTTAAATCTACTTTAGTTCCACAACGTTTGTCTATGAATATATTCAGCATTGAGCACAACTCCTCGGAAAGCCTGCTTCCCTTTATTGTGGAACACTGTGAGGTACATAGTGTGAGATAAAGCGACTTCCAAACTTCAGTTATGTGTTGTTGTGAAGAAAAGCCACTGACTACCTCAAGAGTTGATTTGGGGTGACAGTGAGAAACGAATGGATATAATAAGAAATGGCAAAGTACACGATAACCAACTTCCTGATTATCATCCTCAGTTACAAATGGGGAAATCTGCCTGCTATCAATGCAGTCTTTGAAGCCTATAGCTAAGGAAAACCATAGCTGCTGTCCCAAGCGCCCATATGCTCCATGTTTATGCAATAAACAAAATGGGACATAAATATCTTGCAAAGATTCAGATGCACGCCATACCATCTTGAAAAACTTCTCTACTCTCAGGAGAGCCAGTTTTGTTTCATCTTCTCGGGAAGTTGACCGAATCACGGTGCACATAAACACCGTGATCAGATAAATCAATGGTGTAACTTTTTCCATATAACTAATGCTGCTTGTCTCCAATAAATTGTAATAATCTCGCATTTCATTAAGAGGAGTTGGCAGATTCTGAAGGTATGCAAGGTCTAGAGCTACCTTGTATAGAGGAGATCTCAATGCAGTAGGTTGTATTTCTTCAATGAGGATCTCCACAAACTGAAGACACACAGGGAATAATTCATCACTATTACCAACTTTTGAGACTACGGATTCACTTGAAGCCTTCACGAAGCACAACATTGCATTCCAAAAATACATGATATCGGTGAAAGTGATTGAGGAGGTATTAAACTCCAGCTGGACCCTTTTTGCAATAGATTTGAATATCCTTGTGGCTCCATCACATGCTGATTTTCTATATTCAAGGGCGGCTGATTCATGACTCATAAGTATGCTTACTACCTTAAGAAAGAAATCAAGTTTATCAATATTCCATGGTTGCCATTTGATAGGCTGCTGTTTCCACGCGTATTCCCCAGATGTTGGAACTTGCACGAGCACAAAATCATTAAGAAGCTCTAGGCATGTGGTCCATAAACAAATAGTTGTAGTATCAAGGCCCATTTGGAATACTGCTTCAAGAAAGGGAGCTAATACCAACTCTATCACTGACGGATGGTTGACACACACATCAAGTTTGTGTAGCAAGTATAACCAAGTGTTCAAGCATGCAGAGTGAACACTTGTGTCACATTTACTCAGTATGATGCCCATTAGAGGTGTCATGATGAGCTTTATGCTTTTCAGAAGACCACTTGCTAGAATTTGAAAACTACTCCTCAGTGTAGATATTTTTTGCACTAGTTGGGTATCCTTCTCAGATGCTCTACTACTCTCACAGGTTATGAGCGGAGTGTTAATCAGAGCATCAACGAGACCTTCCCAGGCAACCTGTAGTCAAGACGGATGTCTTTAAAAATAATAATGACGATATGCCATTTTTTTCAGGGAAAGAAGCAAATCAAAACAGGCTGTTTACAGCAACTGAACTGAACTCCTGGGATCATATTCACACAATCAACACACACACACTCAGATGCTCTACTACTCTCACAGGTTAAGAGCGGAGTGTTAATCAGAGCATCAACGAGACCTTCCCAGGCAACCTGTAGTCAAGACGGATGTCTTTAAAAATAATAATGACGATATGCCATTTTTTTCAGGGAAAGAAGCAAATCAAGACAGGCTACACACACACACACACACACACACACACACACACACACACACACACACAAAAGAGGACTTTTCCATGCAGGGTTAGTGTACGGTAGTAGTACCTGTGAAGCAATCTGGACTTGGGGATTGTGATCTGTAAACGTCTGCTGTGGAATTTTGAGCATGACATTCATCAAATTACGTTTCTTCGTAGAATAACACCCCAAGAAGCGCACATACCAGTCCCATGCTTGCAAGGTTTCAACTTTCATACTGCGGTTCATAAGATCATTCATGCCTGTGAGCAGGCTCCTTTTCAGATCACTAACAACTCCCTGCACAAAGGAAAAGGTATGTATTGGGCTTCTCTGACATATGGATGCATCATTTACCGGATTTAACCCGAGAAGGAAAAAGTGATCACTCACCTTAGAGAGAGCATCGGAAGGTGGTAATAGCACAGATTTAGTTTTAACAAGAGACATCAGTGCAATACTCCTTTCTCGCCTCTCAACGCTGACAAGTCTTCGATATATAGGAGGAGCCCAAATGTGAGATGAATCTCTCATCTCCGCACTTAACTGATCTACCAACTTAATAACAGCCTGATCCGTTGCAATGACAAGAGTTAAAAGGCAAAGGACCAGCATTGACAAAATCATTGAATACATCTTTCAAAAGTTTTTGCTCATACTATCGACGAAATGAAAATAAAAGAATCAAACAAGGGATTCTACCTGAACAGCTTCAAATGTTGTAGACAGCGATGCGTTTGGATTGTCAAGAGCATGAACAACTGCCCGCAACAGTTGATGAAAATGCGCAGCAAGGATAGATGCACCGAATTGTTGCATCGATATGCACCATACACATAAGTTACAAACTGACTGCAAAGTAGAAGTTAACAATGTAACTCACCGGCCAAATCAACACATCCTCAAACCATCCACAAGCTAGCTGTTAAAGTTCTCTTTACCTTTACCCTCGTTGCCACCACGACTTTGGCCAGTCCATCCAAAACCATGTTGACATTGTCAACTACACAAACCAATTTATAAATTTATGTTACCAAGGAATCGCTTACGTTCTTTCTTTCAACTACATAACAATGAAAGTCTCAGTTATACCTGGAATTGAAGCTACGATGGCGGGATGGTAGATCATGAATCCCAAACACTTCAATGCCTGCGCCGCACTGACCTCGAAACAAAGACGCCACTAGTTAATCGAACAACCTGCCGAATACGCTATCTGATAAATCTAATTGGGTGTCAGGACTCAGGAGACTTACATTTCTTCATCGTCGATGGAGATATCGGTGAGGATCGTAGAGACCAGACTCTGAAAGCGATCGGCGAGGATTTGTGTCCGGGAACCATCCATCCCTGCTTGCTCCTGGAGCTGAAGCAGAGAGAAGTAACCGAGTGACTTGTTTTCCTTGGAGTTGGAGTGAAGTAAGGCAGTGGCTTCCTTCAAGTGATCAGAGAAATCCAACATTTTCCGGTGAGCTACAGCGTTCCAGCTCTACTGAGGAAAGAAGCAACCCTAACTTTCAAGTTTCGATCAGCGAATTTTGAGACAATAGTTGCTTCGTTTGGCGCCAAACTAACTAGCTACACAGTAACACAGACTTCCTCTCCCGCGCCCCGCGGTTTGGACTTTGAGTGCAAGTGAAAAGTGGGCCGGCCCAGGGATAAAGTGTCCAGATTTTCCTTTTGTTTTCTTTTACATACCATTTGGGATAAATGAATTTTATAAGTTTTTAGGAATTCATTTTGAAATAATTTTTTTTTGTGTTGGTATTTAAAAGAATCCGTTTTCAATTTTAAATTTTGAATTCTATGGAATTGGAACTAGTTATAGCAATTCCGAGAAATTGAGATGGAATTTTCAAATGAATTCCACAAGTATTTACCAATTATGATAAAAGGACATAATCATTCTCATTTATTAACAAAATTACTTCTACATATATTATTTGGCGCCAATTCATGCAGCATGAGGAACGTTGACAAGAATTTGATTGTAACGCTAATAGCATATGCCAAACACATGAATTCATTTGGCAATGAATTGTACACAGGAATTCATAAGATTTTAGAAAAGGGTTAATGTTTTTTCATGGTTGTTTGTCTGCGGAACGGGAAATAGGAATATCGAAAAAGTAAGAATACGAAACAAGAACACACACGATACACGATTTATGTGGTCCACTAAAACAATATGTGTTAGCTAGTCCACGGACAAGTGAGAGTCAGTTCACTATACTTCGAGAAGATACAAATTACACAGTAGTATGAGAAATATTTATAGAACTTATCCATGGTCTAACCCTACTCCAAGTGGTAAAGGAAAAGCATTTACAACCAGACCCAGAACATAAACCCGAACGTCTATCTGCCCAGACAGGGGCGAACCTAGGGGCCTTTGGGGGTGTCTCGGGACACCCCTAAATTTTGGAAAAGCGATTACCAACTCCCTGTGATAATTTACGTATTGACAAAAAAAAATATAATTAATAGTTCGGGACACCCTGAAATTTGAAAAAACGATTATCCTACTCTCGTTTGTAGGCTACAACTTTTTTGTTGTTCTATTTTAAACACGGTTTTGAAAGTGTCTTTTCAGCTTTGAGTTACATCAAGAACAAATTTAGAAGTCTAATATGCGTCAGTTCGTGAATGAATGTCTAGTAGGATAGACCGAGACAAATTTGTTGAGTAGTGTAGACACTAAATGTATTTTAATTTTTTTTCAGAATATGAAAATACATTATGGAATTTTTTAAATTGTACAAGTTGGGTATTTTCTTAATTAAGAATTATTTGATTATTATTTTTATTTTACTTTATTTTTTGAAAGAGGGCACCCATAATTAAAATTTCTGGGTCTGTCACTAGGCCCATACACCATGGACATCCAATCGTTAGCCAGATAGTCTGATTCAAGTCACATCAACAATCTTAAATTGGCTCGAACTATATTCAACTAGACTACTTTGGCCTATGGTTTTAGAAATTACTAGTGACGATGGTGTATAGTTGACGGCAAGATAGCAATTTCTAAAATCACGGGCCAATGTAGTAGTTATAGTTCGGGCCAATTTACGATATTAACCCTTTAAAAAATGATGGTGACCAAGCGGTCATGTTTAACGGTCTACGATTCATACCAAATGTGCGGTCTGATCCACATTTCAAACAGTCTGTTCTATTTTCACAACCCTAGTTTGAATAAAGATTTTAGAAAAGGATAGTTTATGTCGGTTTTTGCTTTATGAATTTGGATTGATTGATTTGGGTTGAACTTGGAGGAAATTCATTGTTTGCTTGCAATTTTCTTAGGGACCAAGTGGTAAGGCCCATGGCTTTTGAGGATCCAAAATTTGTAGATCCCATGATCTTGTAAATCTCATCTATAGATTTGGGGCATCCATCCTGAAATCCAGCCCATGAATACTCATCCCTTATATCTAGGGGTCGTTTGCTTCATGGATTTGAAAAATGAAGGTTTTGGTTAAAACCTTGGTTTTAGAAAACCATGGATTTATGACGGATTTGGTCAATTTGGTTTTTGGATAAATCCATTGTTTGCTTGATAGATTTGATGATGGTTAAAAGCAACAACCATGTTAGAACCAACATCTTAGCACAAATGAACATCATCATCACCAATTGAAATTCGTTCATCACCAGCAAAATACTAATCTGTTTGTACAAGGAAAACATATAATATTAGATGTTCTTCCTATCCTAGTTGAACAAAAGAAATACAACATAAGTACTTCGATCAAATCTCAACAAGTTGCTGTCAATCCCTTCATTTTTCAGCTCTATCTGCCTCAAACCATCCAGTGATGTACCCAAAACGAATACAAGTGGCCACTTTCACCAACTTATACAAAATTGAGACAAACCCTAACTATGAAAATGCAGCCCAAATTTAATACAATCAAAATATTCTTGTTCTTAATTTAACACCATCGAATTAGTAGAATATATCAACTTTCTAAGAACCCAACCAAAAGGTAACAGAAGACATCCAAAAAACAAGCGTGTAGAACCAAAAAAGAAAAAGAAGACAAAACTAGAAATTATTTCTCTCTTACAGCATGATCGCCATTGATGAGATGAGAACAAACTAGAATTTCTTGCTTACACATCACACCCATTTCAATGATACCACTCAGAAGAATTCAGAACCTTTTCTTTTAGGGTTCTTGAGAAAACAGATGGTAGGGGGAACGATGAAATAGAGGAACACACCTGACTGTTGAGGTGAGTTCTCCACCGACACCCATTTCAATGATACCACTCATAGAGAGAAGAATTCAGAACCTTTTCTTTTAGGGTTCTTGAGAAAATAGATGGTAAGGGAACAATGAAATAGATGAACACACCTGATTGTTGAGGTGAGTTCTCCACCGACGAAGGAGAGGAAGGTTGACACGCTACGATACAACACCGAACTACGACCAAGTGTAATCGCAGTCCGGGAATGCAGTAAAGTGGAAAGTTCTAAATATCAACCCGGGGTTTAGATCTACTGCATACTCAGTGATTATCTATTATCTAGCAAACTAAGTCAATTGATTTTGGTCTTAACTGAAAGCAGAAAGAAAGCAGGAATTGATTCGGTTTTCTGAAGCAAAGGAAGAGTCACTCGGGAATGAGTCCCCCTAGCTCCTTAGTTAGGTCTCAGCTGTAATTACCCTGGGTTGATTTATTGTTGATTAAACTGCGGAGGATCCGATAGTAGTTTGGAATCTCTTAAGCTGACCAAGCCCTCTCAGTCTAACTACCCGGCAGACGACTAGTCTTCACCGGGATAGAAAGCTGAAGCAATAAGCACAGAACTCCACTACTGGAATTGGATTCCAGTACAAAGCAGTAGACTGACTAACTCTCGTATAGCCAATCTACTACTACCGAATGAAGAAGCTCTCACAACCTAATCAGATTCTATCTATCTCAGGTTGCAGCAAAAATCAAGAAAAGTTGATCAGGCTTCAATCAATTCAATGAATCATGCATCATTCGATTAAAACCAAACAGTATAATCATCCCAAGTCATTACAATCAAGATCCCTAACACATGGAACTAGGGTTCTTCATACCCAAGTGAGAGAAGGGTTCTACTCCATAGAGAGAGAGAGGAAAACAGAAATCAGAGTAGTCATATTCATAAAGATGAGGAAAATCTGCTCTGGGATGTCAATCTTCACTCCTGGGGATGCAATCTGGGCTTCAATGGTGAGAAATCCACTCCAAATAGCTCCTAGGGTTTGTTCTTCGCCCTTTCTCTCTCTAAAACTCTGTTTTCGCTCTGAAAAGTCGACTCCCTCTGTTTTGGCTCGAATCTGCCTCAAAAACCCGATTCTGGGCAGAATTACGGGCAGAATTACGATCGTAATCATGGTCTACCCGTAATTGCCCAAAACGCGCGTTTCCCTTGACTCAGAAGACAGGACTTACGGTCGTAATTTGCCAATTACCGCCAGTAATTACAGAATTACGACCGTAATTTAGGTGACTCTTGCCCGTAATTGACTCTGCGACAGGAATTCTGGAAATTAGGCTCGTCATTGAAATTACGGGCATGCCAGGAGCAATTACGACCGTAATTGTGCAGGGGCTGCCCGTAATTCTCTCTTTGAAACGCACCTCGACCTCCAAATGACCCGAAACTTGCGCCTATGCACCTCTTTACTTGCTAGGACCTGAAATGCGACAAAATAACACAACCTAGCGTAAAATAGGCCAAGGAACAACAACTTCGAGCTAAAATGGTCAGGAAACAAGGGTGAAAACATGTGCAAATACGATGCTATCAAATTCCCCCACACTTAACCGTTTGCTTGTCCCCAAGTAAACCAAGCCAGATACAAGGTAAGCTCGAAATATCTCAATCATGCAACCCCTTGGGGACATATCACATAGGCACAAAACACGGGAATCATGCTGGCTTTCAAACATCAACACCTGAACAACTTCAACCGCAACCTGGACAACCACCACAGAGAACATTCGAGTGCAGCAAAATCGAGTAAAGGAGGAGTTTCCCTTCTGTTCACCAACCAACCTAGACTTGACTCAACCACTTATTCAAGACAGTCACCTCATGCATAAAACTCAAGACATCAGAATCAAGACCGAGCCATTTAGGTCCTCACCGGGGTAAAGAGTGTAAAGAACAAGGAAATGAATCGCTCACTCTCGACCAGTGGGGTCTGGACAATTTGATGCGAAAAATGCGCATACTTATTCTCTCAATCCCTAACGTCTCTTCACCATGATGGCAGCCTCTAAGTGTTAGAGCTCACAAAGATGGGTGTCATCACTAACTAATCTGGAGGTCTTAGACACAGGTTCAAATGACTGGCTAGGGTCTAGGACATGGGGAAAAGGCCTTTTAAGTGGTGGAAGTATTCATAGCACAAGGTTCCACATTTCCAAACCCAACAAACTCACAGCCAATCAAACCAATAGCTTTCTTTC